GAGGTAGAAGCTCAACTGCGAGTGCCACTGAACCTACTATCTTTTGCTCAAATAATATAGGGGCGGAGGTAGAAGCTCAACTGCGAGTGCCACTGAACCTACTATCTTTTGCTCAAATAATATAGGGGCAGAGGTAGAAGCTCAACTTCGAGTGCCACTGAACCTACTATCTTTTGCTCAAATAATATATTTGTGTTAATATATATATTCGTTAAATATGTAGACAAATTAGATTTAAAATTCAATTATTTGTACTTGAAATTGTCGTTAATATTAGTCTCGCCTCTGCTAGTGATCAAATTGATGTTGATAGCAGTATTTTAAAAGGCGTTTTCGATCGAGCCCCGGGGCGAGGCGCACCAAAAATGCCCTGAGGCAATGATGTGGGGCAAAAGTCTCAAGAGGCTATACGCCCAGGCATTCGGGGCATAAGCCGGGCGTTTGAGGCACATTTTTATAGTGAGGCATAAGCCCCAGAGATTTTTTCAAATTAAAACAAAATTTGTTGAATACGTCCTTCATATAATACCCAAATTCTCAAAAGTCAGCTTGTAATTAATCAAAAGTTTTAAAAAGGAACTGAAACGTATTAAATTTAAAAGTCACGACCTTTGTTACTGATTGAAGCCCTAATTTATGGTATTTTCCAATTCTTTATCTTGTCCGTTAGTCTGTTAATATCTCCCAAAAGCATCAAATATATTTTATTTTTTTTACAAATACAAAGAGAACTCTATTATCCTTCATAGCAGCAAGTTCAAAGTTCAAATTGCAGGTTAGTCATCCTTTTTGTTCTTTCATGTAGAAAACTTTATTCTTTTCGACTCAAGTCACTTGTGCTTGTAGTAGTGTATAATATATTGTTTTAACTAGTTTTTTGTAGGGATGAAGCACATCTATATATATGTGTGTGTGTGTATATATATATATATATATATATATATATATATATATATATATATATATATATATATATATATATATATATATATTTTCACATATTTATAGTTTTTTCAGTAATTATGCAATTTTACATGTTTATAAATATTTACTACAATTATGTTATTTTATAAAATATTAAAAATTAAATACTCATAAGGCTTACGCCATGTACCTCAGGAACGCTGCAGTGAGGCATATGTAAAATATCTCGTTTTATGCCCACGCCTTTTAAAACACTGGTCGATAGTGATGATTTATTTTCCCTGCTCTTTTGGATGGTGTCATCAAACAGTCATTTGTTGCTTAATTTTCTTTCTTTCTTTCAAAGATGTATTACAAAATATATTTACTGGAACAATTGAATTCACGAACTATATGATTATGTAATAACGAACTTTTTTTTTTCTTCGGTATATGATCTATCATTTTAAAGGTACTTGGGCAAGACAAAAAGGCTCCACTTAGCTCAGAATCAGTATCATCAGGAAAAACAAACATTACCATAGGTGAAGCCCTTGAAGCCACTGCTCTCACCGCCGGAAACAGGCCGGTGGATTACAGCGACGCGGCAGCGATACAGGCGGCAGAAGTGAGAGCCACCGGACGTACCAACATTATCCCTGGTGGAGTTGCTGCTGCAGCTCAATCAGCAGCTACTCGCAATGCTCGACTTACCAAAGAGGAAGAGAAAACAAAACTGGCCGAAATCCTCGCGGTAAGAATTCTTTAAACTGTCAAATCCTATATTCCATAGTCGTTTTCACCATATGAAAATTATGGTGTGGATTCGTTCCATTCATTACCGCCCTCGGGCCCAGATCCGGACATTCTTTATCTGGAGTTCCACTGTCCGGTCTGGAGCATGCGCAATTATGGACCGGGGGTAATTCCACCCCCTTCAATTTGTCCGGGGACATTCCGCCCCCTTCTCCTGGGGCCCACATCGACCAAGGGCCTAACTCCGATATCATGTTAAAATAAGCCTCGGACCTAACTCACACCCTAAAAACTAGCTCTAAGGGAGGATTGCCCAAGCCTTATAAGGAGACCAGAGATCTCATCCCGGTCCAATGTGAGATTCATCCCATTCATCAAATTGTTTTTACCTGTGAGTAGTCAATACGTTATATAAACTGGTAATATAAAGAACTTTTCACTTGTTGTAACAAGTAAACTGCCTTTTTTCAGGTTACTAATCTGCTGATTTTTATTTGGCAGGACGCGAGTTCAAAATTACCAGCGGATAAGCCGGTGACACGAAAAGATGCAGAGGGAGTGATAGGTGCTGAACTGAGGAATGATCCAAACCTGTGCACCCGTCCGGGTGGTGTGGCTGCTTCTATTGCTGCCGCTGCAAGGCTCAACCAAAGTCACACCACAACCAGCACCAATAATCAAAACAGCAACAATCTCAAACAAAAACTAAACTAGAACGACCGAGTACACTACTGTAATATCTAATCCTGCAATTTTCTTCTCCATTTTGACATTTTCTCCGGTGTCTTCTTCCCGTCTTTAAATCTTTCTGTTCTTTTATTTTTTTCTCTTTTAAAAGTATAACCCCATTTGATATTTTCTCCTGCCTTTATGGTCAAGGAACTGTTACAAGCCCAAATTGAGGCTTAGCTAATAGAATTGTAATTTTGTAGTGAATAATACTTGGAGAATCTGTCAAGTCAGTTTCTTTTCATTTCCCTCTGTGCAAGGGTTGAAGAGTATTTGAAGTTCTCTTTTTTTGAAGAGCATGTACTTTTTTGCTTCTGACTCTTGTGCATGTCCAGGGAGTTAGCGATGTTTTACACTGTACAGAAGTAATTATCTAGTTCCAAACAGTTTGCTGGAAAGCTTTCACTTTCCCTTACAATCTGAAAAGTGTTTCATTTGTTATCAAAGTAGCAACTCTTTCTTTCTTTCTTTTTTCCGTGACAAGTGTTGTGCAACACTTGCAAGAAATTATTTGTGTCCCTGCTTTAATCTGTTACATAGTTCCAATAAGCGATGTTGCAAATTTCTGTTCTGTTAAACAATTTGTATTAAGATGGTGGGTGTTTAAAAACTAAGTTAAATACCCGCAAAAGATAGTTTGAGGGGAAAATGTAACTAAAAGCAAAAACAAGAGGTTAAAAGGAGTAGTAATTGTCATGTAAATTACAAAGACGACAAGCAAAGCTTGGACTGATGAAGTCCAGCCTCAGGAATAGCCTCAGCTGGTTGCCAGCCCAAGAGCTACTGCTGAGCCCGTAGAGACTGGAGCCACGCCTGGAAGGGCGAACCAAGGAACTCAGAACAAACCACTGTATAGCACAAGAGAGGTTGATAGCCGTACACGAAGAAATAGTTGTTCTTTATACCTTTCACATGGTAAGAATATTTGTATTTGTGAACAATAGTTCACCTACTTAGGAGGAAACACTTAGTTGTATTTTCTATTTAACCTCAAGTTACAACATATAACTTCCTTCAATTCCCTATCACTTGGTCCAAAGAAGCATAAAGTTACTCAAAAGTCATGTTCTCCACCTCTTCTCGAATTGAATCAAACAGCACGGTGGAGAGATAACGCTCCCCAAAACTAGGGAAGATAACCTGCATAGAGAATGACAATACAATGCTTAGCTGCAAGCACCTCTGTATGATGCTTCCATGCTTCTACTGGCACATATCATATACGGGAATTTGAAGTCAGATCAAGTTAGTATCACCGGTTGGCCTCTGTTTTGCAAACTAGGATGTGGATTCCAAAAATTCCATCATATATAAGAAGAGCCTGAATAATGCTTAAGCAGAGATTTGTATGACAGTAAAAAATTAATACTTACCCACTCTTATCTAGTAAATATTTACTGCAATCAAGTATCTAAGCATACAATATGACTTCCTATCATTTCTTTATCATCTTCTTTGCGTTAAAATTTTCTGCTTCTTTCTTCTATAAGAGGTGTCTATTTCAATTCTCAAGCATTCTAATTCACCTAAAATAGATTTTTCCTTGTGTTTGCTATAGATCATACTCCTATCCAACAGGTAATAGTTACACTCTTTTTATTAATTAACGGTAGCGGAACAATTACTAGAAAATTCCAGCATTAACCTTCATGCCAAGTACTATGTTGTATATGGAATGAACCAGAGGGAGTACAAAGTAAAATACTCCTGCTTAGAGTAGAACAGTCCATGAATGACTAACTGTATAGGAAAGAGGGGGGAAAAGGAAAAGAAAAGAAAACAGAACCAACTAATAAACATTCATCCGATTAAATGAATAATTAGACAGTGACAAGTTTCAAGGAAACACAGAAAGAGTGCTATCAGCTTAATGAAATAGATCCAACTTACTGCAATGAGTTTCCCAGCATTTTCTGGTTTTTTTGCTACTTTTACCGCTGCAGCAGCTGCAGCCCCCGAGGATATTCCTACCTGAAAATATGCCAGGAGGAAAATGAAGCATAGTTGTGATCGTATCAGAATGCACATCGCAAATAAAACGGAAGACAATGTGTGGACTTAGAAGGATCTGTATGGACTGGTGAACTTACCAGCAAACCTTCTTTCAATGCAAGAAACTTTGTCATTTCAATAGCTTCATCACTAGATACCTGAATACAAATAAAAGCAGTAGCTGTCATCATACCAGGAACTATAGCAAGTAACCCCGGTGGAAGCCAAACGAATTTACTTTGGCGGGATGCTTTGTGACCAGATGCCCTTTTTTTTAGGATATTTTTCAGAGATAGAGCTAGCTGGAAACTTTTTACATTGAAAATTCGCGAAATACTTTATCCTACATATATTTCTGGCCTATGTCCCATACTTTATATCTATGCTTATGTGAGTCGCAAATGCATTAGTTTTAGTTCAACCAAATTGATATTGTCAGTCGGATCATAGCAGATTCATCATCTGATTACAGAGTTATCTGTAAGATACATAGGCTTGATAGAATAATCTTGTACACATTGAGCAGAAATTTAAATGTTTATAAAATCTGATTGCTATTTATATGGTTTACCGCCTTACTTGAAGAACTTCATCCAGGATGCTGAGATCAAGAACGGCTGGGACAAAACCAGCACCAATTCCTTGGATTTTATGTGGCCCTTTAACGATAACACATCACATCAGTCTATGACAAATAATAATTCACAGAAGTAGAGATGAAAACAGACTGCAATGCAAAACGGTTTATTCAATGAGGGTATAGAACTAAACTAATGACTTTCTATATTTAGCTGGATATTCTGGAAGACACAGAAAGAAGGAAACTTTTCATAGCAGAAAAGTTTGGATGAAAATATGCAGTATTTGGTCTTTAACAAAATAGCTTTATTAAGCAGAGGAATAGTCCAATTAGTGCCAGAATACTGTGCATGCCGGAGATACCTAGATAAATGACCCAAACAAAAGGGTCATCATCAAAGTGGGAGTTAGAGAGTGGGGTACTAACCTAGTTTGTTTTCAGGAGACAAAAATGGAAGTTTTGTCGGATGTGATTGTGAGGAGTGTTTGGGGAGGTAGTTGGGTAAAATATGACTGGGTTCCAGCAGTGGGAAGTGTCGGGGGCATTCTTCTAATGTGGGATGATAGAAGCTTGGAGGTAAAGGAGATTAAGAAGGGAGTTTTTTCTTTAGCAGCACTTGTCAAAGATAGAGTGAGTGGGGTAGAGTGGGGATTTGGGGGAGTGTACGGACCGGTAGGAGAAGGGTCCAAGGTATTTTTCGGGGAGGAACTGGCTAATGTGATGGGGGAATGGGATATTCCATGGGTTCTAGGGGGAGACTTTAACACTATTAGATTCCCGAAGGAGAGATTAGGGTGTAGTCTGATTTCGAGGGCCATGGAGGAGTTTTCTGACTTCATCAATGATCACTTTCTCATTGATCTTCTTCTGTCAGGAGAAAGGTTTACTTGGGCCAGGGATGTCTAGACTTGATAGATTTCTGATATCACTCTCCTGGGATGAGCTGGTGCCGAATGTGTTGCAGATTCCTTTACCTAGGCTGGCTTCGGATCATTTGCCTATCTTGCTAGATGGATGCAGAGGGAGGGGGGTGCGTGCTCCCTTCCGATTCGAGAACATGTGGTTGAAAGTGCCAGGATTTGGTAACAAGGTGAAAGAATGGTGGACAAGCTACGGGGTATCAGGGATACTAAAATTCCGTCTTTCGAAGAAACTTAAATTGCTCAAGGGAGATATTATTAGGTGGAATAAGGAGGTTTTTGGGTTAAAATGAGGGAGCTTATGCATGAATGGGGGGAATTAGGGAGAGGGGAAGGGGCGAAAGGAGTTGGATGAATCTGAGAAAGCGATACTGGGGGAGGTTAAGAGGGAAATAGTCGAGTTAGCAATAGCTCAGGAGACTAGTTGGCGGCAAAAATCAAGGGCGCTATGGTAAAGGAGGGGGATTCGAATACCAAGTTTTTTCACAGGGCGGCGGTTACAAATCGAAGGAGAAACTTCATAGAGTCCTTAGTTGTGGATGGGGTGAGGATTGAGGGAGAGGAGGCGGTAAAAGGGGCGATAGTGGGGTTTTATGAGAACTTATACAAAGAGGAAGTTAGTTGGAGGCCGACTTTGGGGGGATAGAGTTCAACCACATAGGGGAGGGAGACAGTGAGTGGCTAGAAAGGGCTTTCGAGGAGGAGGTGCACGAGGCTGTGTCGAGTTGTGCTGGTGATAAGGCCCTCGGGCCTGATGGTTTCTCCTTGGCCTTCTTCCAGCTCTGTTGGGACACCATCAAGGGAGAGTTGATGGAAGCTATTGAATACTTCCATGTGAATGGTGTTTTCGAGAGAAGTATCAATGCTTCTTTTATTACTAATGTGCCTAAGAAAGAAGGTGCATCTTGTATCAGAGACTACAGGCCTATTAGTCTCGTGGGGAGCATTTACAAGATTATTTCTAAAGTGCTTTCCAACAGACTCAAGATGGTTCTTGACGTGTCTGGTTTGTCCTCCCAGAATGCGTTTGTGGAAGGTAGGCAGATCCTAGATGCTGCTTTGGTGGCAAATGAACTTGTAGACTCTAGAAGGAAAAATAGAGTACCCGGCTTACTATGCAAGTTAGACCTTGAGAAGGCTTTCGACCATGTCAATTGGGAGTTCTTGGATTTCATTATGATGCGGATGGGGTTTGGGGCAAGATGGAGGGGATGGATCAAGTTCTGCATTTCCTCAGTCAGATTCTCTGTCCTGGTTAATGGTAGCTCGTGTGGTTTCTTTGGCAGCTTCAGGGGTCTCAGGCAAGGTGACCCCCTATCCCCCATGCTATTATTCTAGTGATGGATGCTCTGAGTAAAATGATGGATCGTGCGGCGGGTGGCGGCTTCTTGAGAGGATTCTCAGCTCCGATCGGGGTGCTCAGTGCCCGAAGAGTCTCTCATTTGCTCTTTGCGGATGACACCCTGGTTTCCTGTGATGCCGATATGGATCAGTTGACCTACCTGAAGCAGGTCCTGCAGTGGTTACAGATAGTATCAGGACTCAAAATCAACCTCGGCAAGTGTGAGATTTTCCCGGTAGGTGAGGTTTCTAACATTGATGCTTTGTCTTATGTTCTCAAATGTAAGGTGGGCTCCCTTCCCACTACTTACCTGGGTCCCCATTGGGCGCTTCACATAAGGATACTACGGTTTGGAATCCAGTGATCGAAAAGGTTGAAAAAAGATTAGCAGGCTGGCAGAAACGGTACTTGTCAAAAAGCGGTAAGAAAGTGCTTATTAAAAGCATTTTATCGAGTATGCCCACCTATTATTTGTCCCTGCTGCAAGCTCCTGTGAGCATCATAGAAAAACTGGAGCAGCTTTAAAGGAATTTTCTTTGGGATGCGGCGGATGGAACTAGAAAGTTTCATCTAGTGAATTGGCAGACAGTCACTTCCCCAAGAAGTGTGGTGGACTTGGAGTAAAAGATCTTAGGGTATTCAACAGAGCTTTGTTGGGGAAGTGGCGTGGAGATTCGGGGTAGAAGAGCATGCTCTATGGAGGGAGGTCATAGTAGAAAAGTACGATTCCATGGAAGGGGGTTGGAGGACCAAGGTAATCACATCACCTTTCGGGTGTGGCATGTGGAGGAGCATCATGAAGAATTGGGAAGCCTTCAGTGGCAAATTCACTTACAGGGTGGGAGATGGAAGGAGAATCAACTTTTGGAATCATAGGTGGTGTGGAGAAGATACTTTGAAGGTCTCCTTCCCCACGTCTTCAGAGTTTCAAACCAGAAGGAATTGATGGTCCAACAGATTCGTAAGAGCATGAAGGGGGGTAGTATGGGACCTCTCATTTAGAAGGAACATGCAAGATTGGGAGATTACGGAGCTTCAAGATTTGTTGACACTACTATATGGGCAAGACAGGCCCCAGCCATCTTGTGATTCTTGGAGATGGGGTTTGCGTGGCGATGGTTTGTTCACCGTAAAGTCCTTTTACCATAGTATGTTGGTGAGAGAGGAGGCCACTTTTCCATACTCCTCGATCTGGATTCCTAAGGCGCCCAAGAAGGTGTGCTTTTTTGCATGGCTAGCGGCGAGGGGAGTGATTTTGACTGCTGAAAATCTGCGAAAGAGAGGAATTACACTTGTTAGTTGGTGCTACATGCGTAAAAGCTCAGGGGAAGAAGTTGATCATCTTTTGTTGCATTGCCCTGTGTCCTCGGCTTTGTGGAGGGCAATCCTGAATCTTTTTGGTGTTAAATGGGTGATGCCAAGCACTGTAAAGGAAATGTTATATAGCTGGACCGGTTTTCCGTAGAAGAAGAAAGCAAAAGGCGTTGAAGTTCGCCCCGTTAGCTCTCATGTGGATAGTTTGGGGGGGAGAGAAATAGGAGAGCTTTTGAGGGGATTGAGTCTCCTTTTTCACATCTTAAGAACAGTCTTTTATCTTTGATTGCTTTTTGGTGCACTCATATAGCCCCTACTTGTATAGAAGATTGGGCATCTTTTGTAGAGAATCATGTTCTGGTGTAAATTCTCTACTTTTTGGTATACTTCCTGTATACGGGAGTTCTCTCCCTTTTGATTAATACAATTTACCTTATCAAAAAAATAAATATAAGAGGGTAGTGCAAATATTCAAACGACGTGAATGAGGTAGCGTTTGGTGTAAAAATTATACTTAAGTAAAATAGTACAAATATGATATAAGGTACTGCTTTATCAGGAGATAGTGAGATATGCTAGTGTTTCGTGTTCACGGAAAGATGCATCTTTAAGAAAGAACAAAGAGATTTTGTGCTCAATTCCTCAACTAGTATCTGCAATTATGAAAATTATAGCACATCTACGATCAATTTGATGCGACAACTCGAATGGGCAAGACAATTGACTGACCTTTTTGTCCTCCATTTAGAACTGCATTTTCGGCTGGTTCTATACCATATACCTGGTTTGCACGCAAGACAAAGGAAGGAAAGAAAATGAGAAATCAAGACAAAAAGGAAAAAGAACATTACCACTTTTCTTCCCTCTTTTGTCAACCCTCTTGATACCACTTTTGTTTTCCATCACTCCACTCACAAACAACCTAACCTTTATTTCTGGATTCTTCTCCTTAAGGAACCTTCCAGCTCCCGTCACTGTGCCTCCAGTTCCAATCCCGGCAATAAAAATATCAACTTTCCCTCCTGTGCCTTTCCATATTTCTGGTCCAGTTGTTTCATAATGGATCTACACATGGATGCTTGATAAGCATGATGTTTCTATAACAAATGAACAAGTTCTCTGTAAAGGAGATACCTTTGGATTGGCAGGATTCTCAAACTGACGAAAGAAATGACAGTTTGGCGTCCTATCTAGTATTTCTTCAGCCTTCTGAAGCACACCATCAATACCTTTGGCTGGATCTGTGATGTATAACTCAGAACCCAAAGCCTTAAGAACAATCCTTCTCTCGAGACTGTATGATGCTGGCATTACTGTCACGAGTTTGTAGCCACGAGCTGCGGCAATAAATGCAAGACCAATGCCGGTATTACCACTGGTTACCTCAAGGAGGACTGTCTTCAGCCGCCATTATTTCAACATTTGAAAAAACAAGGAAATCATTTAAGTTCAGCCTTTCAGGCAAATAATCTTTAAAAGCACAGGGAATCAAAAGTAAAAGTTTCCATCTCTCTTAAGACAGGAATTTGAATAACCTGGTACTAAGAGAAATGGGCATACATGAAAAATTACGTTGAGCCTATTTTAATCATCACATCAGTTTTTGTGAAGAAGTATTTGGGAATCATATAACAACTCTTCAAGCTGTACTATTTCCTCCTAATAGGTATTCTCACACGAATTTCACCAACCTTTCCAGGAGTAATCAGGCCCTTATCTTCTGCATCTTTGATCATACTGTATGCCATCCTACATATCAGTAACTGAGGTGAAAATTTCTGTAGATTTTTCAAATTAAGATAAGAACAATGTACACACTAGAAACAGGAAGAAAGATAAGTTCCTAAGAAGAAACTGGATCAGGCGGTTGAAAGATAACCTGTCTTTGACACTTGAGCACGGTTCCATTGACTCCAACTTGGCTGCAATTTGGGCAACACAACCTTCCACGATTTTGTTGAGATATACCATAGGGGTGTTTCCAATAAGCTACATCGCGGAGACAAAAAAATGAGATGATTTGATGCTTAAAAAAAGATGTAAAGAGTACCAAGAAAAATCTCAGAAAGGGAACTACTTCTGTGACATCCTTCGCAATATCACTCTTCTCTTCCATATTTTCTAGCTGACTTGCTGCAACAAGAAAACAAGAGCTATCTAAGGAAAGAGCTACACATAGTTAAGAATAGGAAGCCAGAACTTATTACTTTGACACTCTCAAGGAAGTGAAACCACAACATGTGATGAGCCAGGTAAGGAATGTGCTAGATATAGAAACCATACAAGAGAAAACCTATTTGATCGTGGAAGTGAAACCACAAGGTCATCAACTTTACAAGTTATACCAAAGTAGGAATAGAGTGCAGAAGTTAGAAGAATATGATGATATTAGCCAACATAAATGAATAAGCTGATCAGGCATCTTAAAGAGGAGAATAAGAAGGAAAAAGAAATAGAAGAAATGAATCAATTGAAATAGGTTGTAATCAGCAAAACAAACCCAGCTAGATATGTTTCCCACACAGATTTTATTAGTCTCTCAAGATAGAGGAAAATGAAGGGTGGGTGTAAGGAACTACTAAGCTTTACCAATAAACAAGTACACGATTATCTGGAACTACAAATTGAAGAAATCTCTCAAAGGCAAGTAAAGACACTTCATTATTTAAATCTATCTTGTGCAATGCAACAGAGCCCGAAAATCAATACACTGCAAAAACCAAGTTCAACCTACATCTAAATAAAAGAAGTGGAAATCTAAACAGGGGATACCTAGGGGAAAACTGTTCGTAAAAATGGGGATTGCGAAAGGTATAACAGGCGAACAAACGAAATACAGCAGGCAACCCCAAGCAAAAAGTGGAGCAAAACTATAGCTCCAGTATTTGTTCAAAGAACTCATTTCCTCAAATGAGAACCAACTCATAGGAGAGGCCATTCGTTTAAGAACAACATCAGAAGGGACTGACACTGATGCTTGCATCAAGGAAGGTAGGCCTACATCACACCCCTTGGGGTTCTGCCCTTCCCTGGACTCTGCGTGAATGCGGGATGCTTCATGCACCAAGCTACCATCAGAAGGGACTGATGCAGATGACAAGTAACTTTGACAATAGACGAGAAATCGCAAATGTTTACTCGAAATGAAATGCCATGAATTAACTTCTGTGGAGATCAAATGATATATCAGAGTAGAATACAACCCATTACAACGAAGGACATAGGTTGTTCTGTTAATTGAGATGAAAACCATAAACTCCTCAAGACTGATAACAACAAATGAATATTATGAACAAAACGTGATACTGAATGTCAGATAACATAAAATTTACATCAAGTGCAACTAAGGTAGCATGAAATTGAGGAGGAACCCCAGATATTTTCCACAAGTAATAGCATAAGATTAAGATAAATTACATTAGCCGCTGAAAACTGCCAAAAATGAAAACCCCAAAGTAATTTATAGTTATAAAAAAAACATCAAGAAAATAACTTGGAATGGAACTGAATTAGCAGACACCCACTTACATAAACGAATCAAGCAGGGCTTTTTCTGAAGAATTCAACTAGTTAAGCAGAAATTTCGAAAGTTAAGAAATAATTCAAGAACCCAATTTGGTTCTTTAATTTTGTGGTTATAGGGAGAAAAAACATTACCTTGTGGATGCTTTGAAGTTAGTTAGCTTCCTTATCTTGTGATTCTGCAAAAACGCATAAGAACAAAAGACAAAAATGGGTGTATTAATACATTATTATGTGATGCGCAAGTTGTCCAAAATATACTCATATATTATAGTGGAGAGGTCTCAGTATATAGTTTATTCAATTTTCAATTGAATGAGTCCTCTTTGACTAACAACATATCATAAATTAAAATGGCGGGTAACAAACAACAAACTTTGTGTTAGAATACTATCCACTTGGTTAAAAAAAATAAAATAGAATTAGACTTTTCGAACATTTAATCCTTAGGTATCATTTTATATGATACCTTTACCATTTGGGAGTAAAACAATTTTTCTTTTCACTAAGATTATGTCATCTAAAATGAATTATAGTTTGTAAGCAATTTAGAAGAGGTTCAGATTAGAACGAGCATATGAAATAAATATATAGAAAAATATGCAGCAAACGCAAGCAATTACGTATTATGCATGAGCAATTATATATTGATGTGGTAACTTTTTCTTTAATGCAAGAGTACTTTATTCAGAGTAATCCCAAGTCCTCTTTGACTAATCATCATATTATACTAAATCATATTATTATACTAGTATTATACAAACTTCTATTTTCAAAGTTGAATTACGATAATATCTTTCAAAATCTGAGTTACAATTTTATCCTTAAAAAAACTCCAGTTAAATAATATTCAAATTAAATTAGAAGTTAGCCGCTTATGTTGTAGTAATTTAATGCTTCATCAAATCAATTCAATGGATTCAATTAGGTTTAAGCCATTCATATTCTCCTTCCCATAAACGTTCTCCTTTAATTACTTCATCATAATTACCGAGGAAAATATTTCTCCCTCTTCTCCATTTTTCTTGAATTCTTAATTAATTTCCAGGAGCTTTAATGATACAGATTTGGATAGTCACAGGGTAGAATTAAAAAAGGATATATGATAAGCAACGTATGGAGAATTTGTTGAGTTTCACTCTTTTATTTTGTTTGTTTCATCTTCCGTGGTAACCTCTTTCTTTTTACATTCTTTATTTATAGCAATGTAAATTACCTTAGTTAATTTTGATTGTTTCTATCTTGCATATTCAACATTAGTAATTTCTTTTCATATTCTTCGCCACACATTATATAAGTGCACAATAAGGTATTTTTGTACCATTATCCTTTTTGTATTCTTTCTACAAGAAATTTCTTTTTTTTTTTTTTTTCCAAAAGAGCATCTTTATTCACCAATATCTGCTAGGTATATATGTTTCAATTATTTTATGGCGCAAATATTGACTTCTTTTCGGTCCTTTTTGGATCATACATCATAGTTAGCAACCTATTATTCTTGATTATGCGATTCTTGAAAAATTCTAAAGTTAAACATGACACTAATGTGAAAAATCCTCTAGAAAGTCTGGAGCATGATAAGTTAATATGGAGAATTTCTAGGATTGTATAAGACCTTTATTTATTTATTTTATTTTTTATTGAATTTTATGTCATGTTATATTCAAATAGCTTATGATGCAATTGTAGACTTCGCGTAAGTCCTTTTCTAATTAACCGTTGTCAATGTTTGTTGCGAATTATTTAGTATTAATATTGTCAAGGCAAAATTCTGCTGCACTGTAGACTTCGTTAAGTACTTTTGGATCATAGCTAATTAACCACTATAGTACTTAGTGCAGAATATGTTTGTTGCAGATTAATTGGTATTGTCACGGTAAAATTATTGTTACGTTCCATACAGCCGTAGATTGGTTACTCCAAATAGAAAACACATCAAATGTTTTGTTTGTCCTAATTCCTATGCCTTATTATTTAGTATGAGTGTTAAGTTTATTTCTGCATTAAAACTTAATTTTGATGTTAACGATAATTGTGTATGTGCTGTTTAAGTATTCTTTATAGATACATCCTTCTTGTGAGACAATATGTTATAATAGATAATACAATCCATTTTTTTCTTTCTTTTTTATTGTAGTGCTAGTATTATTTGCTTGTTTGATTTTGATTTTGGTGACTTTGTAGCATGTCAAATTTGTAAGTTTAATTTTCTTAGTTATTTAACTTCGATTATTTATTTCTTTCACCTTCAACAACTATAATATTTTTGCATTATAGCTTTTTTTGATATTCTTCATTATACTCTATAAACGTGCCCAATAAAGTATCTATGGTTACAAATTTGAGCATGTACAAAATATTTGTGGTTTCTACTTTTATGTTGTTGTTATATATTTTATTCATAAATTTTATCACCTTATATATTTTCTTTAATATGAAATTCTTTTACTAGGAAACTCATGAGATAATATTTAAATTCTCATCGAAAAATTAATTTGTGTGAATCATTCTTGATCTATAGAAATGTTAAATTTTCCATGAGGTGTGACTAATCAAAATATCACATCAACATTTGATATGCGTGTGTGGTCTTGCACATAGAAAAGTCAAGTATTCTACGCAGGCTTGATTTACCGGAATTTTTGCTTCAACGCGTGTTAAAATTATTGATACTATTATATTTATGCAATTCAACTAATATCCTTCTATCAAATTCATAGATGAAAGGCTCATAAATTTGAATCAGACAAAGGGTACATGTACGTGCAATGATGATTTATAAGTAAAGAGTCAAATTTATTAATTTCAACAATTATTATCTATTTCTCTCACAATTAATCATCTTGGCGGGTTCAGTTCTAGCCGCAATATATTTGATGATAATCATGATTTTTGTCTGAAAAATTTGACCGGTGTGCTACGCACGTTGAGACAAACTTTGTGGTGGAGATTTGGAGATGCGACCTGTTGAAGGCTATGTGAAGAAGGTGGATCAAGTTTATTTTGTTAGAAAATTCGGGCCAAGGGGGAGAATTGTTAGATGTTTGTCCAGATTTTCTTACCATAATTGATTTCCTATCTCATGAAGGAAAGGACAACATATTTACCATAATTGGATTTTTCTTTTCCTAGAAGGCAAATATAATTCTTCCATATTTGGCTAGTCCCTTTTCTTGTAGGAAAATGTTTGGTGTTCTATAAATTGAAGATCCATCCTTCTCATTCAGTAGCATCCACAATGTAGCCATATGGGGTTTGAGAGTCGTGTTTAGGGGGAGAACTTTACGGGACAAGTGTTAGCGTGTCACTTGTGTTTGCCTCTTCGTGAGGTTGTTTTCTCGTTATTTTGTACTCTCTTTATGTATAGTGGGTTGCTCATCTCCGCCGTGGATGTAGGTCAGTTGACCGAACCACTTTATATGTTTGTGTCTCTTTTGGTATATTTCTCTTTTGTTGTCTGATTTACCGTTGTTGAAGGTTTGCTTTACTAGCTTCCGCGTGACACCTGATTTTTTCGGTCCTAACACTTGTACACCATAAAATTGACATTGATTTTCTAGCCATCCTAAGGAAGACATATGTCGATCGAATTTCTCTACAGCTGCTATAAAATTCTACTTTCATTCGACAACAACTTCTTGACATGTACGCGACTGTAAAAAAGAGGAGGCTACAATTCTAAAACATAAGGCACAAAGTTTAAGACGGGTAGCACTTGCAACCATAGCCTACGTTCCTCATATTCATGTCTAAAGTATGTATTGTTGAAGCATAGTAGGCTCACCATAAAATAGTTTTGAGCTTACATTTCTTCTTCAAAATTTGTGGAACTCTTTGCACGCTTATTCTATGAATATCCATTTCGCTTTAAAATATTTATGCTAATTAGCATGGGATACACGTTTCCAAAAACTAGGAAAATATAAAATGGCGGAGAGGAAACTACAAACAAATCAATAAACAGTATGGTGATTCTAATAAGAGGATAAATTTTCCCTTTTTTTATTTACTTAAGTGGTAAAATTGTTAACTCTTGAATCTACATGTATATTACTCTGGCGTTTCTAATTGATCTTAGTTTGGTTTTCGCAACATTCAAAAGGAAAAAAAGATTGAGGACTTAGATATGGAACACCTAATTTGCAAAACATTTAGTGGTTGAAATTTAGATGTTTATGTATTTGGTAGAGAATTGAACTTCTAACTCAGTTACAATATAATCTTTAATTGTAATATTTTTTTTGAGCATTAAAGATACTTATATATTATAAATTAGATATTGTTCATCATATTACAACCCATAGTCCTGGCTGAGTGATGGATACTAGTAGCCTCATATACCATATTCTGGTTTCCTAATGACCTAAGCATATTACATAAGGAAGTGGAAATTTTCTTAAGCATAGACTATCCGCACTCTTATCTTTCTTCAAAAGCTCTTGTACGCAAAATGGCGGTTCTGCTAACATCCTGGTCCTTCTTTTATTATAGTTACTTGCTTTAATCTTTTTTTGCTTCCTTAGCTAGGGCGTCTGCGACAGCATTCCCTTCTCTAAAGTTATGCTGAAGTTGGAGGCCCTTCTCCTGGTGCATTAATGACCTGCAAGAGAGAATTAGGTTAGTCAGGACTGCATGGCCATCTTTTATTACGTTGATTATCTCTGTTGAGTCCGTTTCCACTTCAAGAGGATATAGATTGTATTTTTTGGCCAGTAGAAGTCCTTCCAAGAGCGCATGTAGTTCTGTATGGAGTGGGAATAGAGTATAGATTTTCTTTTGGAATTCTAGTATCCATTTTCCCATGCTATTTCTGAAGACACCCCCTATTCCACCTTCAGGATTCGTCCATGCACCATCTATATTAAGTTTATACCATCCATTTTGTGGGGCCTACCATTTTACAGGAATTATCATAGTGTCTTGGATAAAGGGGTAGTTGTTGTTATAGAAATGGTATTCGATAACATGGTTGTATATGGATTTGAGACAAGGCTTCCTGTTGAGGTTGTTAATGTTATTGTGATTACGATTGGTCCAGATACCCCAGATTAGAAAGGGAACGAGTTGTTGCCATTCTAAACGGGGAGTTTTGTTTGAAGGTGATAAGTTAATAGTGGTAATGAGCCAGT